GGTTCTTGGGTGTGGCTCAAATCTTCAGGACACCTAGAACTTAAAGTTAACCAATGTATTGAAAATAATTATATTAACATGAAGAAGGTTGCCAATAGGGATGAATTATAGAAAACGTTATACCAGCATTCAACGGGCCTGAAGGGCGAATGTTGCTCACGCACCCCTCACATCATCCCAGGCACGCGTTTCGAGGGGAACTTTACTAGTTTATGCTTTTAAGCTCTGTCGCATAAAAATATTTCCCATTACTCAATTTAAGGTAAAGTGATAATATTATGGCATTCTACTCCTTTTTATGTTGTACTTTGCATAACGTTGATACCAATCAATTAATATGAATGCGAAACAAAAAAAAATTGTTTGTTTGTTCGTTGTTAAATACAAAGCTTCACGATGGGCTATCTGCAAGCATCAAAGCCCGATTTTTAGCGTTATAAACCCTAAGACTTAACGCAGAGCCACCAGGGGAGCAACAGAACTATGGAATAAGAACAAGTTAAATCAAAATATTACATTAATTGACATTACAGTTATTACAGAGAAACGTTATAAGTGAATGTCATTTGTAGATAAATATTCAAGTGCACACAATGATGCATAAAGGTGCGCATGCGCGTGTGCTTTTTTCCCCATTTGTTTCCTATCTATTGTAATACGAAAAAGCATAGCCGAGTTTTTGCAAGTAGGGAACATGGTTGAGTAGCAACTTTACAACGAGAACCAGGCTGTGGTTGGCCGTTTTAAGTATCCTAACTTATAAAAATTTATTGTTTTTTGCAAGGAAACTTGTGTTTATTGACTGCATACACTGCTTATGTAGTAAGATAATATACCGGTTTTGTGGAAAGTTCGTTTTGTTTTGTTTTCATTACATGCTATAAAGCTGGTATGTTCAATGAGGTTAAATTGTGTGTAGAATACAATTTAATTCAATGTTGTGTAAAGTACATTTTGAAATGAACATCTCCTAAAATGTTATGTTTTTATTAGGAAACAATTTTAGAATACAGAATATTTTCGGTAAACGTTCAGTGTTTGATACATATTTCCTGTTATTAGTTTTGAAAGACAGGCTTCTTTATTTTATACAAAATCGTTGAGAAAACGTTTCCGATGTCTATATGGATTTCATAATAAAGTAATGGTACTTCCAAATGTCATTAGGTTAAAGTTTCTGCTGTCTTACTAGATTGCATCGTAAAGTAACACTACTTTCAAGAATTGTTTAGTCGGACTTCATAATAAAGTAACGGTACTTCCAAATGTCATGAGGTTAAAGTTTCCGCTGTCTTACTAGATTACATCGCAAAGTAACACTACGTTACTTTATTATGAAGTCCGACTAAACAATTCTTGAAAGATGACATTTGGAAGTACCCTTGGAAAAAGTATTACTTTATCATAAAGTCCAATAAGATAACGGAAACGATAACATAACGATATTTGGAAATAGTTTTACTTTATTATCAATTCCAGATAGACCGCGGAAACGTTTTCTTAACAATGCTTAAAAGTAGTGTTACTTTGCGATGTAATCTAGTAAGACAGCAGAAACTTTAACTTGATGACATTTGGAAGTACCGTTACTTTATTATGAAGTCCGACTAAACAATTCTTGAAAGTAGTGTTACTTTGCGATGTAATCTAGTAAGACAGCAGAAACTTTAACTTTTAACCTAACGATATTTGGAAAAAGTATTACTTTATCATAAAGTCCAATAAGATAACGGAAACGTTAACCTAACGATACGTTTCCGTTATCTTATTGGACTATATGGTAAATTAACTCTCCCTCCATAAATCATTAAGCTAACTTTTACGCTATCTTATTGGACTTTATGATAAAGTAATACTTTTTCCAAATATCGTTAGGTTAACGTTTCCGTTATCTTATTGGACTTTATGATAAATTAACTCTCCCTCCTTAAATCATTGAGCTAACTTTTACGCTATCTTAGTGAACTCGATGACTTAACTCATTCGAAAGGACGAATGCCTTTAACATCAAATTCATGAAGTTTCGTTATGTCGACAAAACATATCTATTTTTTCTGCAAGGCCTGTAATTATACTGTTTGCTCTATAGACCTCAATGCTTACAACTTCAAACTCCAAATTTTACTTCGGCCAATAACAACAAATTATTTTACATAATTCAATAACCTGTTTTTTTAAATAAATCATCGAGAACCATTTCTACGATACCTCTTTACATTTAAGCGTAATGCCTCGTATACCAAGAAACTGAAAACAGTTACTTACGATCCTTGGTTATTTGGATATTTAGTAAAAAATATGCATCATTGAGCTGAAACGTGTAACTAACATTGTTTTATCCTAAAACGAGTGAAAAACGTAATATCTGCTTCGTTCAGACGCAATATATAAAGTAGCATTAGAACAGCTTTTATTAAGTTTCTCAATGATAAAACATTACTAAACTTGTGATCATGTTTGGAAATACGGGTAAATAATCCAACAAAGCTTTAATATTAGTTCTTGTTCTTGGTACGTAATTCATATCTCAGTATAAGTCTGTACGAATCAAATATAATAGTGAAACTAGTACTGTACAGTTTGTAAAAGGATTTCAAACATGAGAATACAAATAATGTTCAACATTGCATTCTTTAATTGATAAACACTTCTGTTAAGCCTACCGGACGATTGAAATATTTTACTTATGCTGCTTTAAGAATAAATTTATTTTAGTAGCCCACATTACAACCACTTAAGAATACAGAACTGAAACTATTAGTAGTCTTACTATGTTATTTATTTTTAATTTGAAGACTGGAAAGCTCTAAAAAATTAAAAAAAAAATTGGAGTTTCACGCAAAGCTTCACGAGGGCTATCTGCGCTAGTTGTCCCTAATTTAGCAGTGAAGGACCACCCACCGCCAACTCTTTGGCTACTCTTTTACCAACGAATAGTGGGTTTAACCGTCACTTTATAACGTCGCCACGACTGAAAGGGCGAGCATGTTTGGTGGGACGGATATTCGAACCCGCGACCCTCAGATTGCGATTCAAGCACCCAAATCACTTGAGCATTCCGGGCCTATACTTTTGAATATCAGTTGAATAAATAAACTAGATGTACTTGTGCAGGTTGTTTTTGAAGTTCATATGTCATTCTGTGTTGTAGCCTACAAAGTACACAATTCTTCTCGTGATTCTTGACATGCGCACGTTATACTGACGTCACGACAGTGCAAATTGCAACGTTAAGCGTCCCTTATGTGATGTCATTTTAGTGTTTACCGACTGACTGACAGACAAGACACTACTGTATAGTGGTGCGAGAGGTTAAAATAGGTCCTCATTCAGGCGGCCTTAGGCCTCCTTTCTGAGAAATAAAACCAGGGCTTCTGGTCAGTATAGCTGAAGATATATGCTGAATTATAATTATAAACTTCAGTTCCTTCTAGGTAGCTTTCCAAGTTACGTTTTACAAGAATCTTTGTTTAAAGTATTCTAAAATTGCATTAATTTATTTTTAAAATCAAAATCTATGTAGAACAACATTTCATGTAACACACCCTGACACTGGAATCTTGAAATAACGTCCATGTTTAGAGCCTTCATTAGTTTAGCAAGCGATATCGAAACGATATGTCTGTGATAAATAAGCTTTTAAGTCCATTATGACAATTAACGTTACTTGGTTCATCTATTTTCTCGAAATCTCAGTGGATTAACATAAACCTTTTTATGTTAGTTTCGAGGTGGGATGCAGTAAACTTTCATGTTTGTTTGTAGAGTTACCCTTTTCCAGCTTTGTTCTCCTTATTGACACGAATACGTTATTCAAGTAACGCTTTTAAATCGTAAATGTTTCCTTGCGGGCCAGGCATGGCTTGGTGGTTATGGCGCTTGACTTGTAATCTGAGGGTCGCGGGTTTGAATCCCCTTCGCTTAACATGCTCGACATTTCAGTCGTGGGGACGTTATAAAGTGACGGTCACTCCCATCATTGGTCGGTAAAAGTATTACTCAAGAGTTGACGGTGGTGGTGTTGACTAGCTGTCTTTTCTCTAGTCTATCATTGCTAAATTAAGGACAGCTAGCGCAGATAGCCCTTGTGTAGTTTTGTGCGAAATTCAAAATCAACCAAACGAGTTTTCTTGCGAAGTTTGGTATCGCTGCAAGCTGGACAGACACGCAACTTTATCAAGCGGAAGTCACCCAAATCTACACACAAGCTATGTGTAGCAGAAACTTGATTGGTTTTGTTAAGCCTCACACGCAAACAACTCTGTAATTTCTACATTACATTATAAACATGAAAGTCGGAAGGCTTTCGAAACGTAGTCCTCTACACTTGTGATTTACTTATAACAGGCAGTTGCCGTCCATTCCAGTATACTCATCATGAATACTCTGCCTAAACAATTTATTAAAGAATGATCATTTCCTTTATTAAAATTAGGACAGAGTGGAGATGTATGTTAATTTTCTTCCATTTATTTGGAGTTGTAGATTTGAAGATGCCAACTTACGTATTCTTTCTTGCATGAAACTGGTATGAGTTTGGTACATGTAAAAGAAGTAGAGAAACATTTCCACTTGTTTTTTTATGTTCTTGGATTATAAAGCTGGAAACAATGAAGCCTTGTAACATGTGTTTCAGCAAAACCTCGTTCAAATATAATTAATTTCATTCTAGACAGAGGGCGTTGTCTCAGAAGACTGAACTAAAACAGCCTGAGGACAAATATGAAAATAATGTATAGTTTAAAAATGAACTTTTGCACCCAAGTACAAATACGGATTTGTATTTTATTTTTCATAGATAAAAATGGCCTCTTAAGATTTAGTTTTTCTAGTTGGCTTTCTTATTCATGGTTCTCTAAAAGTGATAAGCAGAGTCAAAGACATGATGAATTCTCTATTGTACACATTATGAAAAAAATGTTTTATTTGAATATCTTACTTAAATAGGTCTCTATTGCACAAATAAATGTTTTGTGAAATATATTTTCCAATAAAAATAAGAACCAACAAAAATATTTCCAGTGTTTATTTAGACTGTTCCCTTGAAGTAAGAGCATTTATCAACAGAATTGTAGCATTTGTATCGGTATTAAGCAACAAATCTAGGTTTGTTACCTGTACGTTACAATGTTCAATGTTTGCTGGCGGAATTATAATTTAAGAATATTCACAAAGAATAACTAAACAAATGTACGGAATAGTTTTGTGTATATTATCTATTTACACGACTACATTTAGCAAGAAATAGCGGTTAGACTAACTTGATAATAATGAGCCCAACACAAATAAAGTGTCCTATGCATTTCATTACTCCAGATTTCGTACAGTATTATTTTGTTTATTTTGAGGTGTCGTAAGAGTGCCTATTTGGATTTTGAAATATTTTACACGTTCATCTTACTAAAAAGTGCAATTGAATCACATTATTGTCATCCAACCAGATTCAATAACCAGTGTGTTGATGTTCATTTTAAAAGTCTGTAAGGTTTCTGACAATAAAATGTTAATGATTCCTTGATAAAAAGAACAGAACTGCGTGGGGACGCACGGAACAGTTCATTACGCGGTCACTGGAACGTAACCCATCAAGTACCCGACAAATCCGCTGCCCACAATCACGTGATGGCATCGCTCCCTCCTGTGTTGCTCAGGGCAGCGGCACGCTTTCATTCACCGTGCCAAACGACACGAGACTTGACCTCCTTTGCGTAAGGCATGACTACTTATTGATTAATACACGAATGCTTGACGCGCCATCTCTTGATGAAATCTAGCACATGTTCGACCAATACATAGTACGAATTTTCCACACCACCGAATTACTCGAACGTACTTGAATTCACTCTAAACTTTCCACAACAAGATCATGTTTTATTATGTTTCTCAAAATATTTAACACACAAGGAATCCCTTTTGCCTCAGACATATGTGAAACTGTTAACACAGAAACACGAGTTGCTAAGTGAATTACATATACGTGCTGATTAAACCTTCTGATCAGAAATCTATTTTGCTTAATTAATTTCGTTGAAATGAAGATAGCTTGCCCGCACAAACACCTAAATCGGTCATATTTCAAACAGTTACTGTTTTCATAGGAAAAGCAAACAATATTTGTATTTCTATCTCGTTGAAACTGTTTTTGATTAAATCAAACTTTACTATTTTAGGAACCAGAGTACAATAAACTCAGAATATCATTATGAGTGAAAGCAATCACTATATCTTCTATATCCAGTGCCGACGAAGCTTTTCGTCCAATACCAGAACTCATCACGCAAGCTGGGATACGACAGACACAGCAGTGGTCGAGAGCTATTTATAGCGTCAATGTTCTTGCACAACAACTGTTTCGGAGTGACCTAGATTAAGTTAGTGAACTGTAATTTTTATCAATTTTATATACGTCATTACACATATCGGAATTAGGTTAGTAGCGTTTATTAACATCAGAATATTAATTTATTTTAACATCAATTTTTCTTGAATTAACTTTACTGATCATTCAGAAGAACTATCGAACCATAAGGTTGGTCGTTTTGGCTCAAGTGAGCATAGGATCAACAAGAGTAACCACAGTAACTTATGAGTATGTTACATTACACTGTGTTGGAATCTTTGAAACAGTGGGTTAAGTTTACCGTTGTTTAATGTAATTAAATTATCAAGAACAAATCGAGAGAAATTAAAAATATATATGTTATTATAAAATGACAAAAACATTAGGTATATAGTAGTATTACTAATAGCTGTAATCTAATTTAAATTCAGACATTTTAGAAAACAAAGAATGTGTTGGGCTGTTTTGTAAACCACAAGAAATTTTTGCTTGTTTGTTTTAAGAGTAAATGCTATGTAATAGACTTATTATCTCCGTCATGCCCAAATTTCAGCTTTATAAGCCCTAATATTAACCACTCAATTACCATGGTGCAGTATTCAAAAGAAATGTTAGTTTGTTTTAAGCACAAAGCTGCACAATGCTGACCGTCTGTGTCGTGTTCATCATAGGGATCGAAGCCCTCATTACAGCTTTATAAGGCCTTATACTAACCTTTGACGCAGCGGGGTGCAGTAATTAGAAGAACGCACAAAGTAAGTGACAAATACACCTTTATAAAGGCTTTAAAATGTAAGGTAGGTAACACTTTGGTTCATGTGAGGAAAACTACGAAAGATGGTAAAGTTTGTTTTATGATAATAGAAATGATAACATACACGTATCGTAGTTTACACAGTCTTATCTTTACAACTGAATGAGGACATGGCCTCGGTTTTATAGAACAGATCCGATGTGATCACCATAAACAAGTTTTTTCACTCTCAAACTGGGCTCATTTTTGCAAGGAACATGTATTTATTTCCCCCATTTTAACGGCCTTTCCTCAATTCTACGACACAGAGTGGAGTTAGTAACCTCGCAAATACAACAAAACTCGTCAACACATATACAGACGTAAACTTGGAACTGGGTTACTCCATCCTTACGTTCCACATGAACGAGTAGAATATGAGAGGCAAAATGATTAAATAATATTTCGAAACGTTGAAGGTAAGTTTATTGTATCTAATAAAGAACGGCTTAAGGGTCTCAAGGTGAACATTTTATCACTGAAGAATAATTAGTTCTAGAAAGTAGGCTTTTATCAACAGACATTTTGTAACATCTAATTTATATTGGTATTATATTGTATTATTATTAATTTATAGCAAAGCATTCAGCAAAGTTCTGGAGCATGTTTTATAGTGTTTTCCCTGCACTGGTTAAAAGATTTGGAAATTATATATATCGATGCGGATTTTTTAAAGCTTGTAAAATTTTAGAAGCATTACCTACAGTATAGCGTGTGTTTTAAAGGACACCAGTAAAAGGGCTTCAAAGGCTGAAAACGTTTGAAAGGTAAAAAAAACTAAAGCCTTATTTGTGCATTCATAGTGCAATAAAATATGATTATAAACATCAACAAATTGGAAATATAAACATCCACAATGTATAAATATAAACATTAAAAAAGTGTAAATATAAACATCAACAAAGTATAAACATCAATAAAGTATAACTGTAAACATCCACAAAGTATACATATAAACATCAAAAAAGTATAAATATAAACATCCACAAATTTATAAATAAAAACGTGTACGAAGTATATCTCTAAACATCAACAAAGTACAAATCTAAACATCAATAAAGTACAAATATAAACATCAACAAAGTACAAATATAAACATCAATAAAGTACAAATATAAACATCAACAAAGTACAAATATAAACATCAATAAAGTACAAATATAAACATCAACAAAGTACAAATATAAACATCAACAAAGTACAAATATAAACATCAATAAAATACAAATATAAACATCAATAGAGTAAAAATATAAACATCAACAAAATATAACTGTAAAAATCAACAAAGTATAAATATAACATTCCCAAAGTATAAATATAACATTCCCAAAGTATAAGTATAAACATAAACAAAGTATAACTATAAATATCAACAACGTATAAATATAAACATCGACAAAGTATAAATATAAACTTCCATAAACTATAAGTACAAACATTCACAAATGTATAAATAAAAACGCGTACAAAGTACATCTATAAACATCAACAAAGTACAAATATAAATATCAATACAGTATAAATATAAACATCAATAAAGTATAAATATAAACATCCATCGTTTATTTAGTATAGTGCTCTAACACTCAAAATCTATTTGGATTAAACATGATTTATTAAAGATTATACGCTTGGGTCATCCTATTTATACACATAGAGAGTGTAATCGTGTAACTGAAAGAAACGTTCTTTGCGAGGGATAAATAACATCAAATTTTAATCGACACCCGAATATAAGTGTTTCACTTTCCTTGACCATTAAATACGTTATACATTTGCCGTATAGGTTTTCACACCCAAACAATCTTTTGTACAAACTTTACGGGAAAAGAAAAATCAGCCGTATGATAAGGAAAAGTAACACACATGGCTGTATAAAGAAAAACATAATCTATCTATATGTGTATATATATATATATATATATGGGCTGTATAAAATAAAGATTAAAATACAAATTATGACATATATATACATTGTAACTTCGTACCAATATTGGAAGCAATTGCTACATTTTTATTATATATGCTATAAACTTTATGTCTTCTGTGGTACTACGAATATGTCTGTGGAACTTATGTATATGTGCGTGGATGTGACTAGTTGCATGTTTACTGCTTATGATTATGTCCCCTAGTGGCTTAACTGTTAGTCTGTAAGCTTAGACGCTAAAAATCGAGTTACGATACCCGTGGTGGGGTGAGCACATATAGGCTATTGTGTAGCTTTGTGCTTAGCAACAACCAAACCAGCCTTTAAGATTATTACATTTTTCGTGTTCTTCTTATAATTAGATAGATAGAAAAATAAATATATATGTGCAGAGAGCTAGATGGATGGGTTGATAGGAAAACAGATAAATGGACAGAGATTGGGATGAATGGATGGACAGACAGGTGTAAATCACATACCGGCAGATCAAGTTTAGTGCGTATGCGTGAATATGCATATTTTGAATATGATATGAAAATTCAGTTTAATCATTTCATAATGAATCCAAACTAAATCACTATAGCTAAAAACTCTGCAACAAAGGAGATTCTGCTCAAGTCTGATCGCAAGTTGAGCTTTCCAAGCACAACTATTTTTTGTCAGTCATTAGTGTGTGTGTGTGTGTATATATATATATATATATATATATATATA